TTTCTCCCTGCTTTCCTGTAGGCTGATAAGGTCCCCTTAACCCCAGAGCTGAGATGTGCAGAGCCGTCTAAGGATTCTCGGTGAAATGAATCTAGCCCATTTATTTCTCCCACCTTGCACTAAACACAGCAACTTGCTGTCAACTTGAGGTCAAAACTGAGAAAAAGAGCTCAAAAAGTGTAACTTTACTGAAAGGTAATGTTCTCCAAGTCCCCCTAACTTTCATCACAGAGGACTGGGTCCTTTTCAAACTCATTTTTGCATTTTTGGAAGCCAAGGGCAGTTTTTAAGGAAACAGTGACTCAAGTCAGGTATGAGTTTCTGTTCCTAATCTGCATTCCTTGTTACATAATGTTCTTGGTTTGCTGGGCGCAAAACTCTTGCACAGAGTATTCGCAGCTGTTACAGCAGAGGCAGATGTGGATCCACTTTCAACTCAAATGTGACCACCCTTTATTTTATAACACAAATGCCTGAGTCTCCTGCAGGAGCCCTGTGCATTAGGAGCACGCCCTAAGGAGGCTTTGCAGCGTGGCGGTCAGTGAGGCTGCTCCGCAGCCAAAACCAACAAAATGAAGCCTCTTCCCACAAAGATGGGGCTGGGAGACTCACAGYGCCTTGACAGTCCTTTCTCCAAATTTCTTTAGGATTCCACAGGTGTGTTCCTGCTTCAGGCCTTCTTCTTTTATTGGCTTCATCACCTTTGGTATCTGATAGAAAGAACATGCAAATCATTAAAATAAGAGGGAAGGCAATACTTCATGGTAAAATCACTACATGGAGTTTTTTAGAGAGATTTTTAGTAGGGAAAAAATGCTGTTCATTGGCCCATAAAGCAGAAAAACATAACTGTTGTCCTTGTTCACCAGCATTTATAGAAGAAGCCTAATGTGAAAAGAAACCAGCACCCTTTTGGAACAACAATTTTCTGTTTGTAAGGGGAGAAATCTTCACCTGGGAGCCATGCGCATCTGCATTGCTATCAGATAAGATTAAACTAGTTGTGTGAATTAATATCTTGCAGCCTGGCCGAACTGCATGAAAGGCATATTTAGCAGTTCAGTTTCTCTAACAGACTGACATGGGCTCCATGTAGGGCACGTTTCTGCGGGGCAGTTATTGGCCAGGGAGGAGCTAGGTCATGGGCTACGAGGAGGAAAAGCTCAGACTGCTGCAATCCACACAGCACCGCTTTCTCTGCACAGCAGCCCCAGGGCAGGTAGCAAAGCCGGGGTGGGAAGTGATCCCCATGTGGGAGTGGGATACCCGTCCAAGCTACCTCAAGCTAGCCAAGCTAGCCTCAAGCAAGGTGATTTCTATTAATTCTGTGGGTGCCATGAGTCAAGAGAGTGTTTAGCTCTCGTTTCTGCTTGTACTTAACACGCTGTACTTTAGGTTTGGATCCCTGAAGGAGAGCTGGCTGACATAGCTCTGCTTCTGCACTTGTTTAGCTGGCTGAAAGCACCAGGTTGCACGTTACATGAACTCTGCAGTTGCACTAAATCATACCTGTGTGTGAAAGCATTCGTCCAGGCTGTGTGTGGGGTCGTTGGCGCTCGTGCAGCAGGTTCTCATCATCTCACCGTACTGCACAGCTGCGGAAAGGATTGTGGGCGCGTAGAGGAAAGGATGGCGCCGGGAAATCTCRTAGATAAAGCTAAAACAGGAAGGCAAACATCTTCACCTGCAACATCTTGATCATTTGGAGCTATATCCAACATAGGAGTGACAGGAAAGGATTCATACATAATGACAATTACACCTGGATAAATTATGTTAATACCCTTGTGTTGGGAAGAAAAATAAGGATGAATTTACAGAGAATTTAATACTCACCTTTTGGATTTTTTTTTGTATTCGCTATCTCTAGGCAGCTAAACATCACTTTTAAGCAACAGATCTATGATTTATTTACTTACTATCCTGTTAATGAATGTTGATGCTGTGAATAATTTTTGCAGGCAGCTTCAGCGTCTGGCCTTTCGAAAGGAGAAATGAATCCTCTTGTTGAGTTTTTATGGGAAAGGAAGCAGTCATTTCTTTCAGAGCCTTTTTTAGCACAGCAGTCAGTAAACCTGGGAAGATTCTCATCCTGGCATATCGTATCAAGGAAAATACTCTCCTGTGAGAAATTAAAGAACATATATATCCTGGTGACGATTCCACTTTACTCTTGCAAGCTCTCTGTGCAAAGCACTTGAACACAACAAACCCTTATCTGCATAAACTTTGAGGTTCTCTCTTTTTGCTCTGATTTTTTTGCTCTGATTGCTCTGACTTTTTGCTCTGATTGCAGTGAATATCAAACTGACCTCTAAAACATATACAAGATGATTTCTAAACTTGAATACCTTCTTATGCCAAGCAGGGTTTCAAAATGGACTGTCACACGCACTGTGCACTTCCCACTGCACTTAAACAAGAAGCTGACTGTTGATAACAGTTAAGGTGATTGTGGGGTTTGCGTTCTGCAGCTGCCAGGATAGCAGGGGAGCCCCAAGAAGGAGAGGGCTGCTAAGATGGACCATGCATCCTCAAGGAAGTCATATCTCAGTAAAATGCTCCTCTTGGGAAAGACACGTATCCGGACTGTGGAATTACAAGCACTTGTGCAGACCCTTGCCTCCCCAGAAGCATGACCATGCTCACCAAGGGCTTCAGGCAGCGCTGGCTGTCTCTGTCCCCCGCAGCACACCTTTTGGCGAGGTCAGTGATGTCCTCGGTCATTTTAACTGCTGTGCCAAAAGTGCCTTCCTGCACGTACTGAGCGAACATGATCATGGCGCTGCAAGGAGAACACGTGCCATTAAACACCCTGCTGAGCCCTCACACAGGGTGTTTGGGGTGCGGGCGTCAGCCCCATGCAGCCAGCGAGGGGGCCACAGGAACACTGAGGGAGCCRGGAGGGCTGGGGGCCTCGCGGTACCTGCTCCTCTCCAAACACCGCCCAACAGTTAATAGCAGCAAGTAGAGTCTTTATCTGGGCAACTTACACGGCTTTGAAGTTGTTCTCCTGCAGCTGAGAAAAGCGTTGGCCAATGGTGCCGTTTGCCTCTGAAATAAAAGAGAATTGGGTTTTGAATTAAAAAAGAAAAAGGCTTCTTTACAGAAAAACTCATTTTTGGTGCTGGAATCTCAAAGAAGGGTAGGTTAGAAGCTCCTCAGCTCCTCTGAGGTTGCAAGGCACTATTGTAYGCACAGCCTAGATAATACCTTTAACCTTGTCTTAGCCATTTAAAGGTTGCTTCAGCACTGGTTGGGTACAAATGAGGGATTCTGATTTTGGAAAACATGGGCTAAATTCAGAACTACACARGTAGACAAAGCACCAGGAAACTAATGGAGATGCAGCCTTCTGGGCACGCTGTGAATGGGCCCAGAGGGGGGAAAAAAAAAAAAAGATCTAATGTATCTGAATATCACTTGCAAATATTTTTTTCATASCCAATAGATTTTTCTGCTGGCCAAACTTACTCCCAGGGATTTTTTAAATTCCTTGTTTGTCAGAGACTCTTCCCAAGGATTACTTCTAATGGAAGGGGAGTGCTCCCAAAACAGAAGGGTAACCTGTCATGCCCTGGGGTAGCACTGAGATCCTTATGAAGGGGCCAAAAAATGAAGCAATAAATCAGCTTCTCACTCTGAGTAATGCAGAGCTGTAAAATGAGACCGTGCCAAGAGATAAATACCATCAGCATCTGCTGTGTTTCATACTGCAGCACCATTTAATGCACTTGGAAAACCTAAAGATGCAAAAACATCCGACTTGGACAAAAAAAAAAAAAGAAAAAAACAACAAAAAACTCATATAACATCAAAGAAGTATCTTATCCTTGCTCTAGAGGAGGGTTTTGATGGTTTCATTTTTGGCATTTCACGCGGGCAGCTCAGTCAGACGTGCAGTCAGTCATTCTAGGCTTCTCCAGCTGTCAGCGAAGGAGCAGGATTGCTCCTATGCACAACCCAAGCGACAGCCCAACTTTGCTGCTCCAAAGGCTCATCTGCAGCCAGCACCCCCTACCCCGCTCGTTGTTTCTCTCTTTCCCCCAGGATCTGAGSAGAGAGCCTAGGAGAGCTGTGATCAGAAGTTATCTCTGTAGCTCTGGAATACCTGAAACTAAGTGGCATAGGTACATCCCTGCGCATTAGAATTTATCCTATAAGTAAGGATGATTGCCTGGACTCACCAAACACTAAGAAGCAGCACACCTAAGSCGGATCACATAAAAAATTAATACAGGTGTAATTTTGTTCTTTAGCTTCAACTCACAAAGAAAACACAAGCCTACAACTGGCAGTGTTGAAACAAGATTCAAAATCACTACGTGCAAGGAGTTGCAGTCATCAGCCTTACATGAAAGAACAGAGTGAAATAGGAAATATATTCTTACCTACATCGCGATAACTCCTGGGCAGGGCTTTGGTTGCAGTAAAGCTTTCTAATAAAACAAAATAAATGATTATTTTCCATTTCATAATGCCAGATTTTTTTGCAGGGGCCTGAGCRGGGCTCGGTTTATCTGTGAAAGGCAGAAAGACTTAAGAGTAAAGAGTTTCTTTTATACTCTGACAAGCAGGTTTTGGTTAATCAAAACCCCCTGGTTGACATGTGTAGGATGAGACCTTTTGGAGCGTTCCTACAATGGTTAAACTTCATGACGTCACTTCTTCAGAACGAATTGAGCTACTGGTTGCAAAAAATAGGACCTTGTAGAATCTTTTATTTTTTCCACAGAATTTAGGCAAATAGACATTTTCAACTTATCACACTTCAAACATGAAGTTAAACATTTGTGTGCTCTTTATCGTGCATATAAATCTCTTTTACTTACACATTTGTTCAAAGGTGAACAGTATGGGAGGAGCCTCAGTGTTGACTGAAGATCCCAGGTTCAGATGCTAACCTGAGATTTTTGCATCTCTCCTTGCTGAACAAGCCCTCTCCAGATCCCAGCTGCTAAATGTCCCAGTGCAAAAACTTCCTAATTACCCTATTTGCATCATTAATAGCGTCAAAATGCTTCTGCARTTGAGAAAGAAAATAAAACAAAAGAGAAGAATGAAGGGGAAAAATCAAGTTAATCCTCAAGTTAAATAACACAAGTAATTTCTGTGATTTTTTTTATCGTCTACAGCACTATTGAAATGCTGTATTTCAGGCAATAGAGTAGTTTCAAAGAGCAGCTTATCCTTGCAGCAAAGAGGTGGGTAGGCAAGGATAAGTATCTTAAATCTAATGGAAGGGATAAAGCTGAGGGTTTTTGTTCCTTTGGCCTGGACGTTTTCCTTGTTCTGTGGTGAAAGAAGCTSCTTGAAGCCATTCATGATCATGACAGACGGTATCGAGAGGAAAGCRGATTCTGAGTGCAGAGGAGTGTTTCTCAGAGCAAAAGACCTGAAATCTAAGGTGAAATCACATCTACCTGGGAAGACACTGGCAAGCTCTGCTGCACTGCGGGAAATACATTGATGTGAGTGACAGAAAGATGTCTCTGATCTGGATGTCACTGACCATACTTCTAAATATGTCCTCGTCATCAACCTCACAGGAGTAAACAAGAGAAAGCTCTTCTCCCCTGGAAGACAGAGTCACCAAAACATGGGCTACCCCAGGCACGAGGGATTTCCTGCTATTCCATTTTTGCCAGCTAATGCAATGTTGTTACTATAAATTATATGAGAAAGAGAGTGGGGTTACATTTTTAGAAGAAGAATTGCAGAAACAACTGAGATACTGAGTGTGATGCTGATGAGTGTTTTTCAGAGATTACATAAGTGCATAAGTGCAAGTACATAAGTTACATATGTTGTCCTAAATATTTTAGGAATCCGTACATGGCTGCTGTGCTTAAAATCTGTACGTTTAATTCCTTGGCTCTCCTTTTCCACACTCAACAGGATGGTTAACTCTGGTCTAGTTTTCCTTCAAAACTTGATGCTGCTGGAGTGTCAGACTACCTGTTTGCAATGAACACTGTCATTTGCAGAAGCGAAGTATAGTATTGATAGGATAGGATACTGATAGAATAATATTAATCTGGAATGCAAGAGCGTGGTGAGCCCTAGAAATTAGCTCCAGCAAAGTGCACAACTCCGAATGAAGAGTCTCTGCTGTTGTTCTGCCCGTGTTGTGCAGGAACTGTGCTGGCCTCTTCAGTTCTACACCTCTCGAGGGCACTGCTGTCTCCAGCTGTTCCCCTCGTAGAAACTGCCCTGCAAGCTCCAGCCAGAGCCAAGAGCTGCCGATTGCAGCTGTGCAGCTCCGTTGGGAATCCCTCTCAGCTGCGGGTGGTTGAGGGGGGAGACGTTCCCTACACCTAGAAAAGGTGGCAGTTCAATCATGGGCATCTTTTGCTCTGTGTGTGCCCACCACAGAAGAGGTGGGTTAAATAGGCTTTGTTGGCAATTTTTCTCTTTTGCTTCTTTTCACTCTTTCTTGAGAKGTCTTTGTGTCTTAAACTGAACCTTGGTTGCAATACAGTTGCGTCAGTGCCTGTAATTCCCAAAGTGCAGCCAGGTTTGTCCAAACCCAAGGAGATATTTTTGGTTTTGCTGGTAAGAAGCAGTGTTCATCTGGCTTCTGTGATGAACCTGTTTTTTGTGTGGGCTGGTTTCTTTGAGCTTTTATTTGTACTTTATTCTTTAGTCTTGCAAGCCACAAATGGTGTCTTCTGATAACAGAAGTAATCTAAGTATTGCATTACCTTCTTGCTTTCTTGCTCTGTGAGTTCAGGAGTTCAGATCCTGAACACCTACTCTAAATTTAATAACAATGATCAGAAGAGGTTCATAGAAGTGGGGAAATTCAGGTTCTCCCCAGGTAGTGCCAAGGTCTAAAAGCTCTATGCTTTACTGATACCATTTGGGGAGTAYTTTTCCTGATGTTAGTTTTAACTGCAGTTTGGGATGTGCAGTGTAAGGTGCGTGTTGGACCTCTCCAACCTGTTTTCGGGGGGTAAGAAAGGGAACAAAAAAGAAGAATCTACAAGACCTCCATTCCACTCGCATCCATACTTGCAGAAAAAAATAAAAGGAAGCTCAGTAGGCTGGATTTCAAGATATATTTTCCTATTTAGAAATATGATCAGATTATATTCTTTAAAAAGGTTTTCTAGTAACATTAACAAATTAAGAGAAGGTACCATAGTTTGGCAATTAACACACTGATTAACACTGAAACCATAATTGAAAACTTAAAGCACGTTGTAGGACACACTATACAACTTCCCTACCTGTATCTTCAACAAGTGTTTTCTAGTAGACATAGCAAACTTGAAAAGAGGGAAAAAAAATGGGGAGGAAAATCAAGTTGTTTACTTGATAGCTGCAGACTATTTAACAGGGAAATTATGTGGCAACACTGCAAGGTGTGATGGCCAGGAGTGCTCCTTTCAGCCCATGGAAAGGACTAACTCTATCAAAATGATTTGTGACTTTTCTTTAACCTGGAGACGATTTCCAGACTGGGAATATTTAGACAAAAATGCATGTCTTAATCTACTCTGTTCTTGTGTTTTTAATCTAGACCCCTTTGTCTTTTAAAGGGCTCGTAAATTAATAGCTTATCCAGTATGTGGAGAAGTATTTTTTGTTCATGAGAAAAATGGGGTTTTTGACGTGGCATTAAAAGGTTCTCACCTGGCCTTGCTGCCTCTTGGCCTATATTATAGGAACAAATAATCATGCTGGTGTAGCAGACAAAATGTATTTAGCTATAAGGAGGTCTGTTCAGGTTCTCTTCAGGGAATGGAAAAAAAAAAAATCTGTATAATATCCAATTGTTCCTCCCTTTTTAGTCACACCTGAGGTGCTTTGCACAGCCTGTGTGTTTGGGATGAATTTCCCCTCCAGGGCCTGCTTGAGGGTGTTGTGGGGCGGGCGTGGGAACGGGTCAGCACAGGAGATGGGCTAACCTTGTGCAGGACAGCTGGGAGCACGGCCAGGCCACACMACATCTATGTGCTGCCAAAAATTGGCATTGAGGGTCTCTGTCCTTCAGTTTCCCTGAGTTACTTGGCTGGGAATTAAACAAGTTTCGTTGACCACTTTTTCATCAGTGCTTTTCTCTTTGCCCTTTGTCTTGGGGCTTGTAAGGGTACATTTGCCATTTGTAGTGTGTCAGAGAGTGACATGAAAGCTGAAAAAGCACTGTTTTTATTCTGCAATGTTATTTTGTCTCCTTCATGACATGAGAACTGAGTTGTACCCTATAACTTAGCTACTCCASTTTCTACCTATCATACTCCCCCCACCTCAGCTCCGTTCTAGGAGCCTGTTAAGAGCAAAACGTCCTCTCCTATAGAACAGGAGTACTCTAGTAATGCTGCAAGCTCTGGCTCGCCTCAGAGGAAACCTCTAGCCATCATTTTTTGTTATAAAAGATAATAGAAAGTAAATAGCTATCTTGGAAATGGAGGGAGGACAGACACCTCTGGTCAGGGTTTAAATTCCAGTGTAGTTCAAGTGGTGGTGCTTGTAAAGTCTCCTCAAGAAAACTGATCCCCTGCTTCTGCCCTGCAGGACATACTCCTTCACACAGAATGGGATGAACACATGGGAAGAAACGTTCTTGGGCCTGAGGTTGTTTCCCAGGAGGGGTTCTTCTCTCTTCCCTCTTGGTTGCACTGAACAACTTGCTGGGCTCTGGGCTGGATTAGTCATCACCTTTGGGGAAGAAGGAAGCAAGCATCGATCCTGGCTGGGTTGTGGATGACAGCAGGGAGCTATATGAGCTATATATATATGTGTGTATATATATATATATGAAATATTTACTGTGAAAGCTTTGAGGAAATGCTGTTTTCTATAGTGGCTATTGAATACTTGTTGGTTGCTAAAGCAAAACACTTTTTATTGGCAAGCAAAGTGGATATGTTAGTGAAGTAGGAGAATGCAAGACAAACCTACAACACCTGGAGGGCAGGAAGCAAGCAATTCTTCCAGTTAAAACCCTTTAATTTTTCCATCTCCCCCCAACTTCCTCAGCAAAATCCTCCTGCTTTTATCTCTGCTCCAAAATGCTGCAGGGGGTGGCTCCATCTGAGCTGGCCACCACAAAGTGCAAAGGCTGCAGTTTCCAGCTTGTCCTTGTCTTTATCGGGCACCTATAGGCGTGATGGTCTGGCCTAGTGAAACACGCTTGCCATGTGTCAAACACAAGTTATCTTAATACAACAGCCACAGTTATCTTAGTACAACACAAACTTTGGTTGCACTGACCTGCTTACGCAGCGCAGGGGGTAAAGGCAGGAACTTGCTATAGCTGCCCTGGGGCCACCAAGCAAAACCCCTGTGTGTCCCAGAGGGTCCCAATTAGCTGCTGGGGCTGCCTGGTGAAGGACACTTCTCCCAAGATCCTGAGCTTTGCACAGGTCACTCTGGGCTTGGTGGAGTCATAGGTTTCAGTGTGCAATTTCCCCTTGGTCTCCTGGAGGTTTGATTATTTATGTATTTATTTTCTCCTCCTGAGAGATTTTTCCTTCTTGCAGTCTTCCTGCCACCAGACTGGTTTTTAATGCTGCCAGGTGTCCCGAGGCAGYGGTCTTTGCAGCCTGCCCCTCAGGTCCCATCTGGCCTGCCTCTTTCACTGGGTGCACGGAGCAGACTGTGCTGGCCAGTCCAGGGGTCCTTTCGAAGCCACRCTCTGCTGTCTCTGCTGGCTTCTGGAGAGAGGTGGGGACTTGCCTTGATGGCCGAGCAGTTGTTTAGGTCTTCAATCTGTGAATGGAAGCTTTTTTTTTGCCTTCTTCCACTCCACCAGACTTGCTTAGGAGACTTTTTAAGGGACTTCTTCCAGCTAAGGTCCATGTTTCTCAGTGGAATTTTACCCTGTGCTCATTTTTCTCCCCCTGCTCCCACAACAGGCCAACATTGTAATAAGCCAGTGACATTTAGCACTTCCTCATCTTTTCCTGACAGCTACAAGAATATATTTGAATAAATAGTTTTTAAGAAGAGCTTTGAAGCTCTGGTAAACAAACCTTTTTGGATTTAAAGCTTGTCCCTGGTAATACATTTCTGAACCTACTTTTTGGTATTCAATGTACATCTTGTTTTCTGCAGACCAGCTGCCGTGCATGTGCTGATTGGGTTTATGGTGGTAGACTTCGTTCAAGTCTCTCCTAACAGTCACAGTGGTGTTCATGTACATCTATGCAGCAGATATACACACTAGAGAAGACAGTTGTAGGCATCTAATTTGGCCTGATTCCTAAACGTGAGTCAGTGGAACTAGTCACCATCTCTGTAGTTCATCATCAAACCCTACAGATAGCTTACAAACAAGGGAAAGCCAAGAGTAAGGAGGCACTGACTTCTGCCTTTATATCAAGCACAGGTTTCCAGCACTTCTTCCTATTATCGATATTTTGCTACATGGGCTTATTTCTGGTTGTCAGCAAGGCAATGTACAGTTCTAGAAAAACTGATTTCCAAAACTGATTATAGAAAAGTGTTTCCTGTGGAGCTAATGAATTGACCACTGAAGGATCAGGTTAATTAAAAAAAAAAAAAAAGTTTCCAAAATGTTTGCGCCAAGTCTGAAATACTGTCAAGTTTATAATTTCTCCTCAGGGAAAAAAATAGGTTTGGAAACAAATAGTACCACTCTAAAAATGGGATTTAAGAGTTTTCAGCCATGTTTACTGTACATAGCTTGTTTTTCTTGTTGATGTCTCCTACTGAGTTGTTTTAGCACAGCATACAAGAAGAGTAAGGAAAAATCAATGAATGCCATTGAAACTAAATAGCTGAAAAAGTGGATTGTGTGTCCTCACATAATSGGCTTGGTTCTCCCTCTATTTTCATTGTTTTTTGGATCCCTCCTTCAACCCATACTACCTTCTTCTGTGACTGTTAACATTCTTGTGCTACGAGAATGAAGAGGATCAGTTGCCTTGAAAATACCTATATGTGTCATGGGTGGCAAATAGATGCTGTGCAGTTTAACACAGAGATGAAATAGTTCATGTATACATACAGACTATTTTTTTATTATCCATGGGCAAATGCACTGTAAAGCCATCTGAAAACAGCCACTCTAGCTGTCCGAGCTACTTGATTTCATATAAAAGTATTTACAGGCATTCGCTGTGTAAGTTTTTGCAGTCATTAGTGCGTGTGTATGTYGTGCACAGCATGTCCAGAAAGGCACTCACTGTCACCTTTGGCCCTGTTTGCATTACACTTACACTTCTTCCATGACCAAACATCCTCTTTCCTGCTTCAGTGTGGGAGGCTTTTCTTGAGTATACTTAAATATTCACAATGATAATTTCAGTTAAGGCATTCAATGACATCAGCTTCTGCTAGGCTAYGAATTGCAATGTAGCCAACTGAGATAGCAGCACTGTAAGAAGCTCTGCTCCTTGGATTTTGGTATTCTGTGTTAATAACGGCATCTTTCAACTGTGAATATCACTGCCACAATGTCTTTATKGACCTGTGGAAAATTTTTAAAAGAGGATGTCCCAACTCACCGTGAAAAAGAAGGAAAAACAAGACAAACCCACAAGTTCATGCATCAGCTGTAAAGTGAATAAACTGTACTCATTAAATTCCTTGTTTTGAGTGAATTGGATACACTGAAGACTTTTTTTTTTCAATGACCACCTGCAAAATTCCTGAATTTGAGCTGAGAGGCTTGGCTTTTCTCAGAAAAACTGTAATTAGATTATCCTGAGACATTTTCCTGGTGAAATGGATCAGATTTCTGAATATGAATAATTTTTTTGGGGTGAATCATGGAGCCAGACCAAGCAGTACAGTGAGAAAAGATATGGCCAAAGCCCAGCTAACGTGCATTTTCTTAACAGGAAAAGCAGCAGCCAGAGAGCTACAGAGAGCTTGAAGTGGGATGCTCTTTCCATTCAGACTGCTGAAATCTTAAACCATGTAGTGAGACACAGATGTATCCTGGAAACTCAGCTCAACATCATAGTAGTTAGGCACTCATCCAACCTCTCAACAAGGACAGCTTCAGTGGTACAAACACAAAGATACATTTACYACTTTATGCTTAAGGATGCTCATAGAGAAATGCTTACGCTTTGAGCCATTCAGCTTCTCCCTGCACAGCTGAGTTCACAGTTTATCATTGGAAGTTCTTGTATCTCTTGAATGGGATTTTGCAACTTGCTTTTCTGAAAGGAAATGAAATAGTGGTTAGCAGCATATTCAGTTGATTTTTTTTCTGAGGCGAAGCTGTTCACAATCCAAGTTCAYATTACTCTCCAAGTAAGTATCTTCGCACACTTGTTACGGTGCAGAGCATCTATGACCCTGTTGTTTCTTCTGCTGAAAAGTCCTGCAAAGTTTCATGATCTTGCATGGTAGCTAAGTACTACTGGTGAGCTGGGTGTGAAACAGAGGTATGGAGAGGGATGCCTTATTTCACAAACAGCTGGGATTAAACTCACCCTGGAACTCAGCATGGCTTCTCCTCCCAATAAGCAGTTTGGTTTTACTTATAGCCATCACTTAGCCTAAGTTTTGAAGCTCTCTTGGACCTCAGAGCTGAAAGTTGGTTCCTATCCTTGTCAGTAGCATCTCTGAGCAAAAAAGCTCAGACCTGAGGAAATCATATTGGACTACGCAGGAGAACCAAAACATGATTTAAAAGCACCTCCAATGTTGGTTTACACGCTCCGAGTTTTGAGACATGCACAGCCCACAGTGGCTCAATGACTGACCCTTTTGCTCTTATTTTGTGCTAAAAGCATCTCGGACAGCGTTTCTGTAGCACTCAGCAGTGCTGCCAATTTTTCAGACATGCTTTCTAACCTTTAGTGATTCTCATAATCAGCTGCAAARGAGACATTCTTGCAACCTCTTGAATGTAACAAACATGAGATGAAAAATTGAAAGCCATTATAAAGCTCCACACAGCTTTAACACACCACACACAAAGCTAAAAGCATGTTAAGAAGTAGTGTTTAACTAGGAAAATCACTCGGATCTATTTTTGGATTATTATTTGACTCCTTGTGTTTTTACCCCAAATGGCTGTTAACATTCCATGTTAAAAAATTACAAGACAGAAATTCCCAAACATTTCAAGATTTTTTTAATGGAGAAGTCTTCTCAGTCACATTTACCACTTTTCCTCCTCTTTTTTTTTAATTCAAAGATTCTTAAATTCATTAGAAAAAGAAAAAATGTAGAAAAAAAGAATTGAGACAAGGACAATATAAGCATTTTTATTAGAATACTGATGTTCAAAAATGGAGGAAGATGTTTTTGAAAAAATACTTTAAATCTTTTTGAAATTTTTCTTTTGAATGAAAAGATCAATGTCATTTATGTCATTTGACAGAAGTAGTGGAAAAAATCAGAAGTTTGAAATGCGTGTGGAACTTTTTCATAGCATACCCTGTTTTTTCTTCAAGATGTCCTATTCTGCCTAATGGAAAGTATTTTTTCCAATATAAACCCAGCAATTTTCTTATTTACTTACTGTTATTTTGGGGAAGACTCTCAGTGATTGTTATTTGCCAGTATGGTCTAGCTAGAAACAGAGCCAAAATCCATGTTAGTTTGCTACCAGTGATTTCAAATACTCAAATATCAAAACAGAGCAACTTGGGGCAAAATGTCAAGATGTTCTATGAGTTTCAGGAAAAAAAATAGGAAAAATTAGAAGTAACATGAAAAGGCTATGACCAAGAAATTACCACACTTTCTATAGATGCCCTTCAAAAGACTGCTTCCAATACACCCTCTTTTAAAAGATTTAATAACCACTGTTTAAATAGGTATCGGAAAGCCTGGTTATAGACAATTGTCACATGTTTCAGGATATAGGTAGGAAGAGGAGAGATAGAAAATGAAGAATTAGGGGCAGTTCATAATGAGTAGTTTTGGGCAAGGGGGAGGGATAGCTGATGCGGCGCCATGATGGGTGTCAGGTGAAGACATTAAAGACTGAAGCAGAAAGCAAGAAGGGAATGAATGTAGCTTGTTACCCTTCAATTAAGTTGCAGAAAATGCTTTGTTTTTAACCAGCCAAGAAAAAAGTGGAATTCTTAACATCTGGATCTGACTGCTATCCTGAAAATTTTTGTATCTGCAGAAGGAGCTTCTTTGATCTGCAATGGTAGGTTTTGCATGCTTTATGAATTAGTGATTTATGTTGATTGTTTTTTACAGGATAAAATATCTAAATTCAGTTATGGACTAATTTACAGGAGTTAGGCCTGAGCAAATGTGCATTAATAAGTAGATGTGGCTGATGCTGTCAATATTGTCTTTCATATAAAGGATGARTGTGAGGTTCCCATCAGGGTTTTTCTAAAAATTGGACAATTTGATTCATAGGGATATGTTCTGTGATACCTCTAAGTTCTATGTCCGTGGCTTTGCTCTATATTATAGCTGACTTACAGAAAGGAGAGATGTGTTGTATGGAGAAAGTCAAAATGGAGAAAGCAAAAATTAGTCTGCACATGACTGAGGGGGATACACTTCATAACAGTTGCTTGTCAAGTTCCTGATACTGTGCTGGTATGAGAAGGCCCCAAATAGGGCTTACAAACAGGCTGTAAAGCATGTGGCTGTCTATGTTCCTCAGCGTGACTAAGGCCTCTGCTTCAGGAAGTTACCCATTGCTAGTTGCTTTTTCTTTCCAGGGATGTTTCAGTTTCTTTAGGGCACATCGTGTTCCAGAAAAACTGTTAAGTGAATTATCATAATAAAACAGCATAGAAATATTAAAACAGCACACGAAATGGATTGTACAAAACTGCTTTGGCTGGTTGAACAGGCTGTTGCAAACTCAGTTGTTCACGAGCAAGGAGCCAGGCTTCCAGAAAACCTTACTACCGACTTTAATTTGGTGTCCTGCTCCTTCCTTGGATGCTGAGTAGTATTTCTGCACTCTTCCGTGAGTTTTAGCTGCTGTGAGCTTTGATCAAGAGGAAAACTAAAAATCTTCTAAAATCATCTGTTACAGCAACTGTTGCATGCATACAAATTGCAGGTGTCATACCAAGAATTATGATAATTGCTGGCCTTTCTGAAATTTGAAATAAGCATTCAAGTTTCATAGTATAAGTTTCAATATGTTCCAGAAAATAGTTGAAGGATTTCCTACCTCTTTAGAAGATGCTAACATGGTTAAAGAAGACTTTTGTAGCCATGGTCCTAGCCAGAGCGCAGGTGTCCTCTGACTCAAACTCTAGAAGGGAAAGAGGAAAGTCATCTCATTGCAAAAAAACAACCAGCCAACCARGAACATGTCAGTTGAGGAAACTCACAACACAAACAGAGCCCAGGAGGCCTTTTCATCGTGGGAGCAAAAGCTCCTCAGGTTCGCTGAAAGCCACATCAGCACTGGGGCTTGAGCTACTGCTATAAGGCTGTAGCTCAGCTGCAATAATCTCTCATTCTGTAAACTGAAAGGACTATGATGTGCAAGAATGCAACACATAGGACTCCTATGACCGGTAGAAATGGTTTTTGGTTTCCCTCTATTCTTCCCACTTTTTGGGTATGTTGGTGGTATTCAACTGTATTCTGCTCCTTGCCTTGCTACTGTCTTCAGCATTGATAGAGTCAGCTTGGGATTGATTGATCTATGAATTCTTTATCTCTTTGGAGCCAGCTAATTACCAAAGTATTCATTATAAACATATTTTTGGTCTCTGAGCCTTTAATCTAAGGTGTTTGTATGTGAGATTGTTCGGAGAGAGAGCAAATGAAGAGACCGAATCGAGCGGACAGCAATCTAACACTCCCGTTACAAACTGTAAAAGGAGAGGGCCTGAGTAGCAGCAAAAACTTGAAAACCAAGGCAAAACCCATGCTTCCTGATACACATATGCAGATAGCACTGACTGGGAAGCTTCACTGCTTTTCCCAGAAATAGCATGGCTTGCTCTAATTTAAATACAAAAACACTGGCCTAGAGCAGGCTGGGCTCAGCTGCACTGAACAACTATCAGCTTTATTTTTTCTCATAATGTGAATGTCATTTATGATGGCTGTTTGTACTTCCATAGGTTAGGGGAAAATAACTAATATTGAGCAATAAAAGAATAAAGTGACAGCCTAATTGTGACCAACTAATGGATGATTCCTGGTCAACTTTGCAAAAGTTTAAATCTTCAGCAAGATGTTTATTACTGCCTTGAAGTCATAGAAATTCTTCCGAAGTAGCACTTAACTGTGACTTAAGGTGATAGGAAGATCAAAAGTTTCAGCCACAGGAAAATTTGTGATTGTTTCATTTAATTTTTCCACTGTATAGATCTATGGATCCGAATGTTTCATTCAGAGCATACTTGTACAGTTCTGCAGAAAATTCACCATTTGTGAAACCTAGAACTCGTGAAGAATTTCAAGGCCAAGAAAAGTACCCAAATGAAACGTGGCAGCCTGGTAAGATTTTAATCAAAAATTTCATCCATCATTCTGATGTAGTAGACCTGTTTTTCTGTGTTAATGGGCCAGGAAGTGCTTTAGTGACATCGAACCCCTAAATTTCTCTATGAGGAAGTTCCTGAAATGAAGGGCATGATTTAGACTGTAGGACTCTCAAAGGGATTCTGTAAAGTAAGAGTTCTTTGAAAAGAACTGAAGACATGAATAGAAATGGCTAAAATCAGGTCTGTATCTAACTTCTTCACAGATCAAGAAATACTTGACTGTTGGCTGACATAAAAAAATCTGTTTCTCTCTCTAAGGGCAAGTTGCTTATCATCTTAGGCAGATGGAGCAGTTCCTTGGAACGTTCTTTTACTATATAAATAAAATGGTTGAAGAGCAAATGTTCCTGTAATTGAGTCAGGATATTAAAACCTGACTAACCTACTTGTGTTTATATGGACTGATGGGTGGGACATACATGTATTTTACCGAGCGAGAAATACAAGAGAAAGAAAACAATGGACTGCCTGTAGTGTCCACAAATACGCTGCTAGAGCAGCTCTCTAGGGAATACTGATAATCATCAGAAGACCAGGACAGATGCAGATTTATAAAGCTTTTATTTATTATTCATTTTTTTTTGAAGTAGTAGGATTGAAAAGTTTCTGAAAAAGCACATGGTTTGACAAAACACTGAAGATTTAAGAAACAGCCATTCAATACCAAGGAAAAAAGGTCATGGGGAGGAGAAGTTGCACAGAAACACTTTTATCTTCTTATTTTCCCCACTGGCAACCTAGATAGGAGAAATTAAAACAATTATTTGGTAAAACAGTAGCATACTACTAGGACTGTACTTTTCTGTATGCTATATGCTTGTGTGCAGATGGTAAGCTGTATATCAGAAACAGCAAACTCATAGTGGTTCAAGGAAGCAGGATGATTATTTGCTCTGAAATAATTATCTGCAAAGGTAGTCAGGGAATGATAAGAAAATCTTCCAATATAAGCATATTATTGCTGTTACCTACCRTGTATTAAGCTCCAATTCCTAATATGGCTCTGCTCTGGACTATTAGGTTTGCACCCTGAAAAAACAACACAAGCAGTTGTGAGAGAAATGAATCAAAGGGAGTAAATCATATAGTGCCTGAGTACAAACCTTTCCTAAACCTCAAATCTTGTGTCTGTGTTACAGGTCAAATGTAGCTTTCTAAATTGAAAAACTGTGTACTCCTGTATGCTGCATATCTTGCAAAGCTAGAAAATATTTTTTTTAGAGCGAGTATTAAGTTGTAAGTAAGTTGTTCCCAGGCCTTTCTAATATACTTAGCCATGTAATAGTTGGGTAATAAACGAAGTCAATAGATAGGCAGCAGCTTATGCTATAGCTACTATAGAATCTTCATTGTTTAAAATGATAATGCTTGCTCTTGGCAAACTGACATTTGTTGCAAACGCTTGGAGCCTGTTGAACAATACGGCTATAGATGAGCCCTTCCTGAGGTTATTTTAGGAAAGAGCAAATGCCAAATGAATGAACATGTTCGTAGCTAACTGGTTTGGAGAAAATGGAATAACTATTAACTGTTGACAGGACCTAATCAGATAGACTTGCCCTGCCAATACATCTATATTTGGTAGAACTCTCATAATTTACTCAGATGCACTCTTTACTGATAATTTTTGGTGCCCTAGAAGAATCTGTATCCCAAAAGGAAGTTCACGTGTGTTAAATATTTAGCTTCAGTTTTAAACATGCCTGTTTTTCAACTACCATTTATAGAATCTCCATCCTTGGAGATGTACAAAACTCTCCTGGAGAAGACTCTGAGCAATGTCCTCTAACCTAGAATTCAGTCCTACACTGAATAGAGGATGGGTCTAGAAGACCTCCAGCATCACTTCCACGTGACATTATTCCCTGACTACAATCTGTGTGTAAATGAAGATATATGTTATGTCCTATAGGCAAATCTATTGCAAGGGCTATATGGGCACAGGGGCCCAGTGCAGTCTGCATAACCATTTAATGCATGGCTTCCTGTTGATAAACCTGTATACTATTTTTTTAATAAGGGAGGGAAGCAATACCTCTTCTCCAAAGCACGCCTCAATGTTTGATTGCTTGCAGCACTTATCTACCATGGCAGTGAAACCATTAGAAATTGTCTTTATTTGTTCTTCTGTCATCTGAGGTTTGCGTTTGATGAGGTTGATAAGCAATCTGAAAAAAAAAGCCATAATATGTAATTAATGCTCCCTGGTATAATTTGATTTTTCCAGTTCAGAATATCTATTAATATCTGCAGAAACTTCTGCAGATAATTTCTGAGGCTTTCTGTCATGCCCTAAGGAGCCTACATCAGTCTGTGACATCCAACTCCCTGTCTTTCTTTTTGTTTTCTTTTTTTTTTCCCTTCCTTTTCTTTATTTTTCTTAGCTTTGCAGTTAAGATGAAAACCTTACCAAATCAGGTGACTTTTAATTAAGTACACTGGCAGTAGATCTACATAACCCTGGTCAGCTAGGGAGTGGATTTCACTGAGAGGAAATGTCGTATTTTGCCTCTCTCCAACTACATGATGTCATACCCTGGGCATCTCAATACCAGCACACATTCTGTCCAGTATTCCCTCTCTCCAGAGAAGTTCCTGTCAGATACCACAAGAGACTTCCTGTGGTTTACCTCCTGTTCCCCAAAGAAGAGTTACACTGCAGAGATTTTTCTACACTTATTATTTTTCTTTTTAATCTTACTTCATCTGTCCAGCCTCCTGTTCAGCGGGAGTAGCAGTGCACAACTTTTCATCAAAGCTGAACATGTCAGGATTGAATGCTGGAGGCACGTATTTGTCATCTGTTCCCATGGCAGTGAAGCAAGGTCTCCTGCAAGAGTAGGAATCGCTGCAGCAGTGGGCAACTTGGTCATTTATAGGTGTAGTCTCGTGTTTCCTGCATATATCCTGAATCACAATGCTCAGCTGAGGAAAGAAAGCAAGGACAAACACTAGTTAAGCCTGCAATAATAGAACGAATGTATAATGCTTGTGTTGCAAGTGGGAGCTCTTACATTTAAATGTAGACTTAAAATAATTTACTTGATGTAATACTTAATATACTATTATTAATATATTAATATATTAATATATTATATATAATAATTAATATATTAATATATACTTAATATTAATAATACTTAAAATAATTTGCTTGATATATTTTGCAAACAATTTGACCATTATGCTAAATTCAGTCAGTAGTTTTCTTGTCAGAAACTGCTTAGATTTCCCAAATGCAAGCTTCCATTGACCTAATCAAAGTGACTTTTGCTTTCTGGGGGGAGAATAAATTTAGCTATAACTTTCACAAGCTAGAGAATCACTTGGGTTCTCATGTCCATTAAAAATGAACAGAATTCAAACTCTGTTATGTGGATATTTAGTTTAGGGTTCATAAACAAAATATGAATTGTATTTTTAACATTGTATCAAAATACAACATTTTTGAGAAGAAAGGTAGAAGAGAAGTAGCGAGAATTAATGAGTCCACTCACATATCCCTCAGAACAAGGTAGGCGTTCAGCTTCAGGGAGATTGCAGCACTTAGCACCAACAGCTGTCATTTTCTTCCCAGTTTCAAGCAAGTTATCAGTTGGCATCTGAGGCATTTTCTTAGTGTAGCGGACCAGAATTCTAAAAAAAAAAAAAAAAAAAAAAAAAAAAAAAAAAAAAAAAAAAAAAGATTGTTTGCATCTGAAGAATCATCTGAAGAATATTTTCTGAACCGAATCACTGAGATAAACCAGTGAAATGAAAATAGAAGCCAAGTGTGAACAGACCTACCCAAAGCAGGTATGGCTGACCCACTGCTCACACTTGAGAGTGCTCACTGGAAATACTTACGCTTTGAGGAAGTCTTTTTCACCATGCTCAGCAAGAAGATCACAGTTGACCTTTACAACATCCTCAGTTTCTTTAACATGCTTTTTCAGTTCTTCCTCCTGTAAATGATTATTAAATTTAATAATGGCATTACATCAGGACAGCCTGGTCACAGTCATAGAAATGGACCTTTTGGTCTCCTTTAAATCTCATTAGCTGTTGGATAACCATTTTACAAGTAGAATAATTCTTGTAGCTGAAATTCTTACAATATTTTGATCTTCCCCACGTGCTATAAATTGAGCAAGTCCTTCCAGTGTGCAAGCTGACAAGTAAGGAGTGCCATTTGTGTTGCTGATAGTGAAATGAGTCAGGCGTGTAGCCTAAGACCATGTTACCTTGTTGCTGTGCCATACTCAGTACCTCAGATCTGGCCACACAGGCTCCCCTCATAACCAGTTATCTCAGTATTTGCAGTGGAGCCCGCGGAATAAATCTGCTAACCAGCCTTTAGTCTTTTGACTTTGAAGAAACCAGATCACTTGGGAGAAACAGATGCATCAGTCAACAGAGTAAGACTAGTTTGGGACTTCTTAAAATGTCCGATTAAGTTAATCCTTGTTCTGAGAAGACTCTATATCTCTGTACTGGGCACTGAATTGTTTCCTCTCCCTTCAGAATCCCAACTTCTCTTGAATAAGGCTCCTGAAATGCTTCCTGTCTGGTCTTCTACTGGAGCTCCTCAACTCTATTATTCCTTGATAAGTCCCCACCAACTGCAGTTAAGCACAAAGAAAGCCTTGCACTTACAGCATGTGCATAGCACTCAGCGGGGTTGTCGGTCTTGCAGCATTTGCCCAGGAGATCTTCGTAGCCCTTTGCGATTCTCAGAATCAGCTGAGTGGAAAACTCGGGGTGTCTTCTTGAGTATTCATAAACAAACCTGAAAGATATAATGTGACAGCATTAGAGCTAAGGAATAGCATGCTGCCTTCTTTGTGCACAGAAAAATGACGCTGGCAGTTACTCAGATGGGATCAAGCAAGCTGGAAAATGAACCTTGGATGTTCACTTTAATAGGCTGTAGCCATTCTATCATTAGCCAGCAAAGGCAAGAAGAACAAAACATTGTCCCAAGATAGAATGCTTTTTAAGCAAACGGAGCACCGCCCCCCTTCCCCCCCCCCAGAAAACCACAGTTTTTCTGGTGTTGTAAAATGCGATAGCTTAGAAAAGAGAGCAGTTAATTTCAAGGAGCAGAAGGCTCAGACCTCATATTTTAATCAAGAAGATTAATTTATGYAGTGCTCACAACTTCTCAGCATTGAAACCCACACATGCCATTGCTTCCTCTGCCATTACTTACTCTGCCATGAACATGTTATGGTCAGCGTCAAAGTGCTTGCACACTTCCTTCTCGTGTATGTATCTTTCAACTAGTGAAGGGAGATCCTCAGGCTTATCATCGAAAGCTGTATCCATAATGCACTGGCTTCGTTCCACAATTGGTTTGTCACAGCAGCCTTTGATTTTGCTTGAGAAAACCTCAGGTTTAGAGCACATATAGTTCACAACCTCTGCCTGTAGAATTAAAGCATATTATTAGACAAGTTATGAAAACATAACTTAAAAGTAGATTACTTAAATTCCACTCTTTCCCAGACTCCTTTCTTTTTGTTTAGGTCACCATTTCACTTATGTTTTCTAAAGAAATCAGGTACCCATAGAAAAAAGACATGACATTTCTGTGCTTGTTGAGAATGATGTTTGCYCTTGGGAGTCTGGGGAGAATGAGGCTCCCTCCTGGATTTTAGAAAGAGTGAAAAGACAAGTAGCCTGGAAGGCAGTGAAAGTCACCGAGGGGTCTGTTGCAAAGGACTCACTTCATTGACTTTTAGTCCCACCATATGCCCACCTCTGATACACAAGGCAGTATTAAAAAATATAGTGTCATAAAACCATCCCAGGACACCAGCTGTTTACAGTTTTCAGAACCATGTATAGGTCCCAGGCGGGCAGACAATCTTTAAGTCAAATTACTGTTGCACTTTGAAAGTCTTTTCATAGGAGCTGCCCTCTAGACTTCACTGACACTACAGGAAAGCTGGAATAATAGCAGTCCATGCAGCAGGACTGGAAAAATCCTCTGGCCTTTTTGCCTCTGCTTGCTCTGTGTATGCAGCTGTTGACTTGGACCATCTCTCTGACAAATGTTTTGAATTCAAGCAAAGAAACATACTACAGTTTTAAGTAGTGATTCCCTGTTGATATGATCATAAAGGGCTTGAGTCAGAACCGGTCAAAAATCAAACATCAGTAACAGTTATTTAAACTATTTTTTTTAATGGCTATGGAACTCACCACAAGTATTGAATACAACTGCTTTGGACTGTGACTGAACAGATACAGAAATTGTCTTCCTAATACTTTTCAGATATGTAAATATTTTCCAAAACTGTGCAGCTTACCCTGTCATCCATGCACTCCACCATGTCCCCCTCGCAGCACTCCTTGTAGATACCTTTAAGATCACCTACAAGTTTATGAAGTTCTGAGAAAGGAGCCTTGGGATATTTCTGGCTAAGACGAGCAAGTTTACTAGAAAGGAAGAGAAATTTCATGTAAAGTTCAATATTGAATGGAAAATTTGCAAGTCATTCACACTTATGATCCTCTAAATTGGCAATGTTTGAAGGAAATATTCATCAATTCTTCTCAACTAACTTGAGCCTGCTAGAAACATAACCACCTTAAACCATCACAAACTTGTCTCTTTCTATTTTAAAGAATTACTGTGTGAGTTATCTGAGATCTCCACGTTAGGGGATACCAGGAAGCAGTTCTCATTATATCTCAGTCTATCTGTGAAGGATCTCTAGATAACCTAGCTGAGATGCCCATTGTCTTGAATTAAATCTTAAAACTGAAGTTAACGATATTTCATAAGGTGATTCCAGGCAATCTCAGCATTTTAGAGGATCCAAAGAATCAACACAGTTTTCTGTATTTAGGCAGATGATCCATTAATCATTGCAGAAAGTCCTTCTTAATCTGAAAAGTCTGCCTTTGGCAAGAACTGTGATTCTGCCAAGTCTGACATTTTCATTGCTTTCAGGTTCCAACTGGCATTTTAATTTGCAGTGTACAAATATGCTTATCACAAAAAGCTGCCGGCACAGCTTTGGCAAAGGCACCGGTTAAACACACTGGAAGGTCTCATCCTGAGTGACACCCTAGTGTCCCACTCGCATCCTATCACACTACAGTAGACAGGTTTCACTTTGCTCACTGTCTTTATAAAGAAACCTCGTCAGAATTCAATTCATTATTTACAAATAGTTGGGCAGAAAAAAACCACTGCAGGCACACCCTAGGTTGAAAGGTTTAGACACTAATTCCTATTTTGTTGGAGAATGTCCCTCAGGCAAAAGCATACTAGGAACTATCATAAATACAGTTTCCAAACTCTGCAGATGGAATTGAATTGAATATGCTGATATTTTGCTCTTGGGTAATTTCTGGTTTAGGATAGCGACTTGTAATAAAACAGTAAGTGGAACGTACTCTGCTTGGAAAACTCTCTCTCCAAACTTCTTGAGGATTCCACAAGTGTATTGGTGCTTCACACTTATTTTCTTGGCTTTCTCCTTGATGACAGCTGCCTGTGATAATAGGATGCACGTTGTTACATTAAATTGATTACACTTAAAAAAAACACTCTGAAAAGCCCGCTTCAGAAACACAGCAGATTCTTGTCTGATTAACTGTGAAAATCTAAGTGGAGAATTTCTTAGTCTTGACCAGTTCATGGCCCAGTATCTAGCTTCTAGTCTATCCATGTTATGGCATGGTACAATTCTTCTACTCATCCTCCCCTGCCCACAAAATATTAATTTAATTGAAACTCAGTGGCCTCAGAGGCCTCAAGCTGTCCTGCAGAGCATCCCAGTGACCATGTGGAAGTCAGTACAAAGGAAGAAAGTGGCTCCTGCCATCCTGAAGAAAGCTGGACTACAACTCCCCAAAATGCAAAAATGCATGGAAGTTACTGATACTGAGCCACATGGCTAAAACATGATTAATACCTTCCCTTCTATGTAGAGCCTTTCTTCATAAACCATATATAAATGGTTACTGAATTGCTGAACCATAGAAAAGTTGGTTTTGGAACTATAAACCGTTATTTGATGTTGGCCTTTTAAGAACACTTTTAAACTTAAAGAGAATTGCTGCCAAGAGCAGAAGGGACCTTTCTGTAGCAGACCAAAATGTTGTTTTTACCCGAAGTGAAAAGTCAGTTCTACCTTTTCATCCAAGCAAACACCGACATCATCTGCCTTGCAACAGGCCTGAAGTGCATGTTCATAATCAGCAGCCAGACCAAGGATTGCAGGGGCATAAAGGAAGGGGTTCCTTCTTGCAACAGCATAGATGAAACTGTAAGAAAGAAGACAGCATAAGTAGTGTACCTCAGCAAATGGCATCAGATCTCTGTATGGCTTCGTTTTTACTTTTAGTTTTCCAAAGAAAAACTAATGATAAATGCCTGCTAACAAGAAATGCAGTGCTAAACRTTAGTGTTTTAAAAGCAGAAGGTAGCAATAGAAGGATGAACTTGCTATATCTTCACTGAGTCTGATTTTGTATGGTTTTTTTTTTCTTAAATGCATTGTCAAATATCTGCAAATTTTGATTTTGACAGTGAAACAAATAATCCAAGCCCATTTTCTTAATACTTTGGCCAAATGATATACTCTTCAGTGTATATGCATCCTTTCCAATTACAATGGGGAAGTAGAGGCAGAAGGTGGAGCAAATAAATTATTAAATCAATAGTGAAAACATTGGGATTTTCAAGATTTTTTTTTTACGTAGTTACAGGTGTTTTTTGTTTTAGCAAAACAATTGCAAAAAAGAAAAAATTTAACTATAAAAGTATGGGTTTTTTTTTTTTTTAAACTGAAGTCTGAGTGGAGAAGCCTGTCCTATCTTGATTGACTAGCTGTTTCATGCATGTAGATAGGAGACRGCATGCTTTTTCAGATGTTCTGTATGTCTACACACTTTGTTTACCTAGGAAATCCTCCTCTTTTGTATAATTAAATATTTAACTAATAGGATATCAGTGGTTTTCTTACTGTCCCAAAAGTGACACCCTGTCGTCCTGGTACTCTTTGCAGATCACATCAGCAGCTGGTCTTTGGTATGGCTGAACAAAGTCTGGGTGGTGAATTTTAAATGACAAGAAACACTCGTTTCTTTCGGGATCAGCTTTACCACAGCAGTCAGCCATAGCACCATATGAGTCACGGAGTTTTTCTACTTGGCAGATTTCATCCAGGAAAATTGAGGGCTAAAAGGGAAAAAATGATATGGATCAGAACTATAATTGTTTATAGGACAGGTAATGCATATGCTCTTTAAATTTGGATTTTCTTTTGCATATAAAGGCATTTTTTCTAGGTAGGACTTAGAGCATAAATCAAAACAATCCATTTTTTCATAACAATTTCATAAAGTTTTCTTTAATGGGGTCTAGTATCAACAGCATTATAAAAAAATTATCAAAAAATTGTTTTTTATATATAATTTAAAAATATGTTGTGCCATACAGTGATGACCTTTCACATATATTCTCACTAAAATGAAATTTCAGATGAATCAAGGAAGTGGAATTCGGAAGCATCAAAACCTGATAGTCTGAAAGTATCGAGTATAAATTCCCTATAGGATAATTTTGGTAGCTGCATAAAAACAGGAGAAGCAGAATACCACAGGATTCACTGCATACCAGAGGCTTTGTGCACTCAGGATCATCCTCATGGGCCACACACTTATGTGCCAGGTCAACAACATCCTTCACCAGCTTGGACAGTCCCTCGTAAGAGCATCTCTGGAGATACTGGGCAAATGTAATCATGGAGCTGAAACACAAAGCATAGTTCGGAATATGTAGGTAAGAAATCCAAACGTTGTAATTTCCAAAGTAGGTTCTGAATTCAAGACTGTTAGTTAAAATGATAGGCATAAATGGTTAAAAAAGAGTAGCAGGAAGATCATGATACTGGGTTCTGCTTCCTTCATGTTCTCAACTTTATTTTCAGCTTTTACTTCCCAAGCATATAAGTTGTAACACACTAGAAGCAATGCAGAAAAGACTCTGATTTGAGTTATCTATCCCTTCTACCTAGCTCGTTCAAAAGAACCACAAACTAAGCTGTATTAGCTGTTGTTGTATAAATGAGCAGACTTTTTTCTTCCAGAAGAAGTTATATTCCTGTCAGGGACTTCTGCTATTCCCCAMGGCATTTTTCTACAGCAGATAATGGAATTCTCTCAGAAGCCTGTCATAGGTTTATTTTTAGGGGTTGTTCAGCCTTTTGTTTAGGTTTCATTCCTGAATAACTTCTCTTCATCCAAAGATTATCAAAACTGCATTACTCCTGCTCATGTTATTGTCATATAAGGAACACAGGTGTTACCACAGGTGTTACCACAGGTGTTACTGTGGAAGGTTGTGTTCCCAGGGACCAAGAAGGTCATCTTGACTTTTGCAGGTCTAAAAGTATCTCTAGGCTTAGAGAATGTATACTAATTAGCAAGAAAGCTAACCTTATGCTAAGGTTCAGTGTGGTACATATTTTTCTTGCTAGCTCATATAGGATTTTTTTTCCTGATATTGGACACAGAAAGCAAAATGAAAAACAAGCAGATATTCCAAGTTGAGCCTTCACTTACACTGCTTTAAATGTATCTTCTTTCAAATCATTGAACCGATGGGCAATTTCACTCTTGTGCTCTAGGAAARAAAGGAAAGACCAGTGATGATCATTGTCACATTTGCTTGCTAGATCCCTCGAAGAATATGTTCTGGTCAGTCCGGGACTTTCAGATGTTCAACATGTACCAGCTCCTGTGCTTGATGAAGTTTTATTGTTTTTGAAATACTAAGTACTTGTAGAATTCCCAGCTTTGTATGGCATATCATCCTGGAAACTCTGAACTGCTTTTCAGAGAATATTAAGCTTTTTTTCAGCTCATCTTTCTGCGGGAACTCAAATGTGCAATTGGTATTAATAGAACATTTAACTCTCTAAACATATTCGTAATTCAAATATTTACCATGATTGCTGTAGGTAATTGGTAATGGTTAGCAAACGTGCTCTGCATAATGAACAACATGGTAATGTCTGCATTATAAATAAAACAATGCAGCTGCAGTCTGACTGGATAGGCATTAGTAGAGTTGTTAATTTTTCAGACCTAAAATTAGTAACTTGGCAAATTCATACCTGTCTTTCAATGAATGCATATCATGTGTGTACTTCATGAGTAGGAAGGCAGAAAAAAAATCCCCCATTCCATCAATTCCTCTACCTGAACTGAGGTCAACCAACCTGCATTGATAATAATGCATAGAATGCTGAAAAATGCAATTCAAATTTAAATTGCTGTTGTTTGCGAACGTTTCCAGGCCCRCTCCTGAAAACAGTTTTGTTAAATGTGGGTGTTTTCATACCTAAATCAAAAAATTAATTGGGAAGAAAAATCTAGGATTTGTTGCAGAAATATTTGAGTGAGGTCTTAAGTTTCGTAACATGTGAAAAAATGACCCAACGGGCCAGTGTTACAGGCCAGACTGCTATTGAGATTTGTGACGTACCTTCCACCTACTGTATTTTAGTTGTTGAGGAAGTTAGTATGGCAATACCACTTCCAAGAGTGCATTTGCAGAAGCACAGTGCGTCCACTGGCTCCAAGGTGAAAGTAACAGGTTCTGAACGATCAGCCCTTCTTCACGCCCAGGATGCGTTAGCACATTTCCTCGCCTGGTTAAGTAATGGCCTGGAATGGCCCACCCATCCCTTCAAGATTCCTTTGTTCAGCTTCTTTTCAACTCAGTCCAATTTTTCTATTCTTTTTAGCTGACTTTGGATCAAGTTCTCATACATTGTTCAAGAAATTACATCAAAATCATCATCAAAATCACGTAACAGATTGCAGAGACAATTAATTAGTCCGTTCTTACCTGAGTCTCGAGCAACTCTCAGATTTCTAGAAGCAGCAGAACTAAAGAGGAAAATAAAGGAAATTAACGTTACCCACTTCATGGCTGCAGATTATTATGTGGGCCGAATTACCGAGAAAATGCTAGGAAGATTGTAGGGAAAGCATTTGTTTTTATACTCTTTAAGAGACAGTGTCTGTCAATTATTAACCTTACAGTTGGCATTTGTAGATTTCCATTAGGTCTGAAGGAGATTACAAAACTGAGAATGTCCTTGCCAAAAATGAATTTGATATTATTTGTTTATTATGCTTTACTCTAGACCTTTCTGTCCTGAAGAGGTTGAACCTTCCAGCACCCAAATAGATAAAGTTTTGCGTAAATTTCCTTATCAAATTACAAACAAGGGGTTCAAGGCATCAGACAAAAATGTCATCAAGTCTAATCCTATAGCCATGCCTCTCTCTTGCTAGTATTTGTTCAAAAGCACAGCGAATTGGTACTGTACAGTAACTGTTCACCTAGCTAGGACGCAGTTCACATATTCACTACAGCATTCTGTAGAACATTTTCATTTCAAATCACTTTGCAAGATAAGAGATTGCAAGTTTCTTAGGATATTCTAGGTGCTTTAAAGTCTTCCAGTGACAGAAATAAATTGAAGATTTAAGAAACTGCATTTCATTGTGGAATGGCACAAGTGCACAACTGAATCTAGTTCTTGATTTGGTTGACAAAGAAGTACATTGTGGTAAAATACAGGGATGAGCAGCACAAAGATGGTAAACGGCTTCTCAAATTCAGTTAACTTCTGAGTTCTTTAAAAAACAGAAGTTACAAGTGTGGAACAGACAGGAAGCAAGCTGAATCTCCCAAGATATGTAGTTTCAAAGTGTAATAAATGAACACTGAATCTCTATCTGTTATTTGGAACTGACACTCTTAAACTGCATGAGGCTATTTCCAGCCTTAGAGCACATAGAGCAACATCCGAGAAGAAGGCTGCCCAGACAGCAGAGGGGCTGATCTGAGCTTCTGACTTGCGAGGTCAGGTTTTCTTTGTCTATGACTGCTGCTATTCATGAATAACTGCCAAATATGTATGTAAACAGTTGCAAGACTTGTCATTTCAAAATTTTTGCAAAGATTTCCCATTTGCATTAGCGTGCTTATAAGAGTCTCTTCATTATGCGCTGCTTTCCTCTTTGAAAGGTTGCTGTTGATTAGTCAGTAATTTAGGAGACCATGCACAGGAAGAATTCTGAAAACTGTACACATTGCTCCAGGACATGGAATGAAGTTGAATTTACTTTTTTGCAGAATATTTAGAGTTAAAAAAGAAAAAGTACTTCATGTAGGAATAATTACTTATTGGTAAAATACAGTGATGAATATTGGGAACACAAAGATAGAGGTAAATGACTTCAAGTCCACAAATTCAGAAACCAACTGAAACTTGTGAAGGGAAGCAGTTCCACTGTGGAAAATAGTCTGATTTACACCAGCTGATTTCACCATGTTTTATTAGAGAGCTGAACATATATAAATGCTGAGACTGCACACTGTTCGCAGTGTTGTTGAAGGGACTAGAAGCACACGTTTAGAAAGGTGATGTCAGTCAGTCCTTCAGCCTCTTTACTAGCAATTGTAGAGAAATACCCGTACCTACTGTGGTCAATTACTTAAGTTTTAGTTTACAAGTATTGCCCTTCATAAGAAAGGGCTGCAGAAACAGGTGAATGACAACAACCAGCTACAGAGAAGGACCATTCAGAGTAGCTTCCTAAACTACCTCTCTCACTTGTGACTCACCTCCCCTCCTAATCACGGGCAGAAATCAGCAGGTTGAGCCGTACTACCTGGGACTCTGCTGTTTCATGGGCTAGGCAGGATACAGGATGAAACGGGAGTCAACCCAAGAGCTAATGTTTGAAAATGTCCCTTAGGCACTGACAGAAATTACCTCCAAGAAGTGCTCAAAAAAACCACTTTAAGTACATGAACAGTCCCAGTAAAATAAAACATTTTACAAGCATAACAACTGACAAAACTTTACTGGAAAATGAGAATGATGTCAGTGCTGTTAATGTTAGTGATAGTTCAGCAAAACCCACTTCTACCGCAACCACAGAATATACATGAATAAGAATACAACTATATAAATCTAATGCCAATAACAGGTGATTAGCTAGAGTTAGGACAGAGAATAGTCCACAAAGCTTAGAATCTTATTGCTGAAAGAGTAATAAAAAAGGAGTAAGGACACATTCTGCCAATTTTCAAGTTTAGTCTTTAAGGTTCTCCAGAAAGGAAGTATTATTGAAGGGAGCGGGGGGAAGGCCAAACTGCAGTGGCTCACATTTCCTCTTGAAGAGGCTGCCAAGGAAATGGGTTTCCAGATGGCCTGTGGTACATCCCGCTCCTGCTGCTGCCCTCTGCTCTAGCTGAAAACCTGCCGCCAAGCTCCTTCTCCCGGGATCTTTTGCTTGGTTTCCCCCTCTGGAGGTTGGATCTCCACTCGCACACCTACTCCCAGGGTGCTGCTACACGTCGTGCTCTTCCCCAGCACCTTAGTGCTGCTGGCAGCAACTATCGTGATATAAACAGAAGAGAGGTTTTCTAATCCCCGCTTAGWCCTTATGCAGCCTGTTAAATTCACTCTTTTAGTCCTCTAATTTTTAGGAAGGAAGCAGTTTTACCACTATTTTAAAATATTTCTACCAGGAATTGTGTGATTATTCAATTTTCCATTGGCTGGCAGTCTGACAAAATCAAAAAAATATATTTCCCTTTGATTCTGAACTTGAGCTATTAAAAAYGTTTTAAATCAAATGAAATGTTTCAGCCTAAAACATTTTTGAACAATTTGCATTCAGAAAAATATCAAAACTATGCATCATTTCTTTCAGAAAGGCCATTCTGTTCTTTATGAATAATTGTGTAAAACTGAAATAAATTTTAAGAGCACTGAGATACAATGAAATCTGCACAAGCCGTGGCTTTTGCAAAGACATTTGACATTTTCCTAAGTTTACTCATGATATCTTTCAGGTAAAAAGTAGTTTTCTTGTCAGTGTTTWGAGGAACAAGGTTTTAATTTAGAAATTAAGCATGACCTGGATAACTCTAATATGAAGAATAGTGTGAAAATACAAACTTCTGGGAAAATTTTCTGTTCTGATTTTTTTTTTTTTTTTTTTTAGTGATTGATATAGGGATTATTTTTAGGTAGCTGTAGCAAAATTTGAGCCCTCCGGGGAATTATGAGAACTGTGATAAATGATCTGGACCTTTGAGATAGTTGCTGCTTTACCTGAACAGGACCACAGGGAAGAGCTCTTTAAATCCTTAGTCTGTTATCAAATCTACTGGTATTATCCCCTCTCAAAGAATAAATAATAAACAAAAGCTTGTGTTGGTTGATAACAGTAAACTTGACTATAAAATGCAAACAGCCTGTAACATCGCTCTAGTCCAAGTGGTGGCAAACGTGGTAGTGCCAAACGACGCATTCAAACAGCTCTGGAAGCATGTTTCTGTCTCTCTTCACGAAGCATTCTTCAGCAAGTGACACCTGAAGATTAAAAGAGCAAAAAAAAATTTAATCTCTTCATATTTAGAACAAGAAAGGGCCTCAAAATTTAGTATTGCATCTTGAAAGCTATCTGGAATTTTCCCCTGCAGCATTGTGCAGTGTTAGCAAGAATATTGCAGGTCCCCTAGAGTTAATATGTAAGTTTGTAAGACAGGGTCCATGTTTATTTCTAGATACCGTCTGTTGTCTGTCCTGTGCYTCTTGCCAATGTTTCGTATCTCTGTTGAGAGATGTGAACTCCAGCATTGATGTTTGCTTAACAATATTAAATATTATACTGAGCTTCCTGTGATTCAGCGCTTCCACGCTTTGGGTACACCTTCGGCAAAGTTCTCCTAGTATTCCGAAAAGGAATATGCCGATTGCATTTTAAGATGAATGCATCTGCACATAATTATGTGCAAAGTTGTCCGTAGAATGCTGTGTATTTTCAGATGTGGCAGATCAAAGGAAAGTAATCCCAAATCTAATTGACTAATTGGACTTTTTTAGGGAATAAAAAAGCATACATTGTTTTTAAACATGTCCCTAGCGATCTTCCCTGTGCACAGTGGAAGATCGGATAAAGAGTGGAGAACTTTCTTCTCAAACTCCTCCTGGAGAAACACTTCCATCCCGCACATGGCCAGTCTGCAGTTTCTGCTGTGAATTGTCTTATGAAGGACACGATATAAGTAGTAGGAATGAAGACATATCATGGTAGAACAACGGCTCTTACAGTTTCCCAACCACAAATTTTACAACATCTTTTGAGAAAGATGAACCCATTAACCTCTGTGGTGAGGTGGAAGTGCTTGAAGGAGATTGCAGGTGAACAGAAAGAATTTAGCAATTGAAGGGATATCTTTTCATATTCCAAGAGTATTCATATTCCTGCCTTAAAAAAAATTACTAAAATCTTTATGAGTAACAGATTTGATAAATCACAGGGAGCACTTTGGGGAAGTTAGCCCTTTTGAAAGCCATCACTTGGAAAATAAGGCCYATGCGTAGCCCCCTCATTCTGTGGCCCTCACCTTTAGTTCCTGCTGTTCTTTCTGCTAAAGGGCAACAGTTTTGTTTGTGTGAATCAACAAAAACAGTAATCTCAGAAGTGAAGGTAGGACAGTTGACCAAATCTTGAGATATGCCTGTGCCAGGATCACACCTACTCCAAGTAATTGCAGTTCTGTTTTGGAGGTGATTTTTTATCTATTTATTAAGCCGATCTCACGATCACATAAAGGAAAGCAGCCCAACGGCAATATTCTTCACCACAGCGGTGGCCTTGGCCTCTTCTGCTCAAGTGGATGAATCCAGCAAAACAAATGCTACTTCTCTTCTAATCTTTCTGCAGGTGGAGCACTGAAATAGATGTTGCCATTTCCTTTTTGCTGTGCTGACAGACAAGAGGTTTAGCCAGTATTTTTTCCCATTACACTGTAGCTCATTTTTTAATAACTTTAATTACCAGTACCTTTTAAGTAACTGTCTGGGGTTTGGGAAACAGCTACTGGTCTTTTTTTGCTCTGGTGGATTATGTTTGCTTTTCTTATCACCAATGCTTGGCTCACATGTAAAAGAGGTCAAACAACTGAGAGAGATAKAAGTGTTTTATTTGAATAGAGATGGACTCTTAGATATAAAATGAGCAAGAATAAGCAAAATATGCTCATCTGCCATGCATATATAAACACTGCAAGGATTTGATTACTGTAGCAGAATAGGCAGAGAGATAGTAACACGCATTAAGCTGTATATATAGAAGAGGGTGTAACTTTTGGCACATCAGAACTGCTGTTTGGGCATTTGTTTTTGCGATCAGCCATTGAGGTTCAGTTTTGCAGAGTTCTCTCTCATCCAAATAAATATTTTTACATCAAATACAATGGACATTCGAAGCCTCACAAGACATTCAAATGCACATTAACAAATCAAGAAGCCCGCTCCAATAAGCTCGTTTAGTGACTAACTGTTTTGGAGCAGATTCAAGAAGCTAAATCTGCATCTAAATAACCTTGCAAAGCTGAAATTCATGCTAGTGTTCAGGACATAGACCAGAGGGACAGCTGTGTGTAAAAGATGTGATGAGTTAGACAAAARTCTTCTGGATTCCCCTGGAAAGAAGTCTAGCATAATTGTATTTCAATGGGTACTAACCTACAGTAATTGTTTTGGAGCACGTTGGTGCAATTTAGCTAGCAACAGCATTTTAGCTACATCTTCATTATATTACAGCCAGTCAAATAGTAAAAATGAACTAGTGGATAATTGTCCCACAATTGTCTTAAAGAACACAGCAAAAAGGAAAGAAATGCATGCAAATGCAGCAGAGAACAGGAACAAACTCTTCCCGAAGCCTTATGCTGACAGTCCTAATTGACTCTAATTGATGGTGGAGTACAGGACAAGATAGAAAAGGGAAGATGCACAATGTTGCAAAGCTAATACAACTAGAGACTAACAGCCTAGCATAAAGGTTTAAGCCAAAGAGTGTGTTGGAATCATTTTCAAATTGTGCATTCAAAAGTGTCTGATGAACCGATGCTTCCTTGCTCAGGAAAGAGAGCAGTGAATGAGCTTTAATGAAGCTATAAATCCATACAGTCCTGCAAGTACAGATAASTTACACTGTCTATATGGAGCATAGTGAAATAGGCAGCCTAATGCAGCCTGATCCACAGGACATGGACCCATGCCAGACTTGGGCTGGGTGCTCCACCAAGCTGCTGCTAAAGCCTACCCAAGGCCTTTAGGGCTGGTATGGTGCGAGAGAATCTTCTCCCAACTCCTGCCGTTTGAACAAGAAATTTAGGGACTACTGAGACAAGTGAAAAAGAAAAACTTCAAAAGCAGAAGCATTAAATGTCTGTGTCTGTTTGTCTTCAGGTGGACTTTGGAGACTGTTACGCTGAATCATGTAACCAGGTTATAAAATTCGAGCTTAACTTGGCTACTTGGAAAATATACATCTACCATGTACACYCAAACATATACAAAACTCATTTTCACACACGTATTAAGTGGTTATTTTTTTGCATGCTTTTGAGCTTAACTAAGAAAGCTCTGCTTTGCAATAGTACTTCATGAGGTTCCTTCCCACACTTTGGTATTAGCACTGAACTGCTTGGTTTTATAGTGCTAACTGTATTAAAAGGAACAACAAAAAGGAGTGAAGGAAGGGAAGATATTTGCATCCTTTCTGCTTTTGCATGGACATGGGGCAGAGGATGGAGTGCTCCATCTGAAAGGTGGTGCATTTTCATTGTCTTACCTCTTTATTTTCTACACAGGACATAGCTACTCATCAGATTTTTGTTTTTGTATAAGAAATCAGGTGACTCGAATGTATATTTTAGAGAATGTCTTTTCCTATTAATGTGTTTAATGGGATATTGCTTTTATCCATGATGTCTTCTTTTCATATGTGGGTCTTCCAAATACCCATAGGATGATAGTGCTAATCACAACTCCATGATCACAGTGACTTATGGGGATAGGAGATATGGAGATTTTTTCCTCTGTTCATAAACACAGAAGAATTAGCAAATGGATCATCCATGGTGCATCAGTCAGCCACAGACCACTCACCTTTTTTTTTTTTTTTTTTTAACCATCTCCCCTATGTCCAGGCATTTAAAGCAGTCTATTTTGACATTACCTAAGGCTAAATTAAGTCCTGTTAGTAGGTCTTATTGTCATTTCTGGGTTTTATTCACTATAACTGTGATTCCTGGGGCATTCATAAATATCCCTACCYATTTGCATCAATAAATCCAAAATGTGGTGATACATTTACTTGCCTTATCAAGTAAGTTGCCAATATCAGCCTTTGGCATCGAGTTCAAAAACAGTTTTGTTTTGTCAAGTGAGGTAATATATTACTGATTGCAGGCATTTCATATTGACTCTTTTATTTTTTTATGCATTAAGTTGCTTGGCTCTATACAAATGTGCAGCTTTTAGTGTTCTGTAAGGGCTGTCAACTGTGAACTGGCCAGTTCTGTGACTTTAGTCCTGACATCTCTTTTTCCCGTTTCCTCATGACTTTGTTCTTACCATAGTAAGTAATCTGCAAAGCAGATACACAGGCTTGATCATTTTACTYCATTCTAGTTAGAAGATCCCTCAAAAACATCACTCCAGTGTTCTGAATAACAGTGCACAATGATTTACACTAAGCACAGAGTTATTCACTCCATGGATTCACTCCATTTACCTGCCAGAACTTTATGCTTCAGTATTGCTTATATATTTCCTTGGCACTTTGCTTAGCATTTAGATTTCTGTGGTGGTGTGATGTTTGTGACATTATATAACCACTGGCGGCAATCTTTTTCTTTCCCTGTTACATAATTCTCCGGAGGCCCTGGAATCCGGCACGTTCAATCGTGCCCTAGGACCTATTTGGCACTGAGTTTTGAGTTTCCATGCTGCTATCTGAGCTCTGCAGCCTCTGTCATTTTACGTTTTATGATCCCCTCATTATTGTTCTTCTTTACCCTGCTGATGTCTTATATACATAGAATGTCATCTTCTCAATCTTCTGCTGGCTTTCTTCCTTAAGATATCCTTAAAAATAAGGCAGCTGACGTATATAGCTCCTTATAAATTTCCCTAGTGTGTTTTTTTTTTCAATTCTCTGAATATTTTCAGCCAAAAGTCTCTGGTTCATTCTTTTCACCAGTATGTCGTGACCCTTTTGTTTCTGATAGTTAATAAATGGTATTCAACCTCAAGAAAATGCCTGGAGGCTTCATGGCTAGAAAAGTGCAACTGCAGACAACTTTAGCTCAACAGCCTTTGGCAATATGGAATAACCACTCAGTGAACACAGTTGGCTCAAGAGCCAAACCTGAAAGTATTCATTTTGCAAGAGGTTATTAGTATTTCTTTTCTAGGCTTGACATACTGCAGCTTTAGCAGTGAAATAGATAATGAAAACTTCTGAGGAACTCCAGGGAATTTGTGAAGTTGTTTTGATTTGAATTCTTTTAATG